AACTGTCCATAATAGGTCCTAGTATTATCATATCATTTGTTAGTACGTAAGTACTAGAACCTATTCTTTCAGTTATAGAAGAAAGTTGCCAAAGTTGTGTACTTTGAGGTGATTTGTAGACTGTTCTCCCAGTTGGTCACTTCTTCCTAATAGCACTAGTACTACTCTGATAACATGTTTTAACTCTGGACTTGACCTGACTAAATGTTGGTCTGTGAAGTGGTCTTTCCCCTATCCTGCTCTGAAAAGATCATGGCGGTACCTGCTCTCACAACTTCCTTGGAGGAAACATGGACCATTGAAGTGGCCATTCCCCCCTTTTCTTTGAATCTGTATTGGTCTCACTTATTTTTTTTTTCTCTTTGCCATTTCTTCTTAATCATTGATAGGAATAAAAATAGAATAATATACTGTGACAAAAGAAAAGTCTAAAACATTTCTACCTTCCTGCTTTCTCTCTCAATTATGCCTTTGTGTATCCATCAAAACAACACTGTAGGTTACATTATCAGAATTTCTGGTTATGGGAACACTGTGGGGAAGGATGTGACTATGGAAAGAAGAGGAAAATGTAAGTGTATTTAAAATAGATTAACCTAAAATATATTCTTAACAATATATGTAAATTGAATACTTTGTAGATTTATGTTCTCTCAATACTATCCAACAGAAACATAATGTGAGACACATACATAATTCTAATTTTTTCAGTAGCTACACTAAAAATAAAAAATATTGAACACATATATAAAATATTTGGTTAAATAAAAATTTAAGTATTGTATATACAATAAATATGAAAACATTACTAAAATCTGTATTTTTTTAGTTAGCCTTTGAAATCTGATAAGTATTTTACATTCACAGAGCATCTTAATTTGGATGCTGATTTTTCATTGGAATTACTTGATCTGTATTTGTACTTTATAAAATTTAAGTTTGATGATATAAATTTATACACATCAAGCTGTCCAAACAGATTTAAAAGTTTTCAAGTAACTAAAATGGATGAGCTTTTAAATTTAAGTTAACTTACATCAATTAAAAAAATGCACATCCTTTTGCACTAGCCACATTTCCAGTGCTGAACAGCTGCCTGCAGCTAGGAGCTACCATATTGGACATTTTATCCAGGTATGTTCCTATCGAACAAAGTGTATTTCTTTTTTTTAATTTTTTTTTTAAGATTTCATTTATTTATTTGACAGGCAGAAATTACAAGTAGGCAGAGAGGCAGGCAGAGAGAGAGAAGGGAAAGCAGGCTTCCTGCTGAGCAGGGAGCCCATTGCAGGACTCGATCCCAGGACCCTGAGATCATGACCTGAGCTGAAGGCAGACGCTTAACTCACTGAGCCATCCAGGTACCCAGAACAAAGTGCATTTGTTATAAGAAATCAATGTCCTTGATATCAGATCAATTGAGTACACTACCTTCTGACCACATTAGATATCAAATACACTAATTTTATTTGCAGTTTGTTTTTACTGACAACAGCAACAAATACCTAAATTTGCCTTTCAGTTATTTGTAATCTATGCAAATTACCCTGCTTTACATGCATTATACAACCCACAAGATTATTGCTTTGTTTTTTTTAGCTAGGCCATGCTTAGAACTTCATTTGTATACATATGATTATCCTCAGTGGCCTAGGTTGATTTAAATATCAGATACTAGTCACATTCCCTTGACTTCCAATTTGTTTTCAAGGCATCATTAAAAAAACAATAAAACAAAACAACAACAACAACAACAAAAAAAAACATTTTCTTTCTTGGCAATCTTGCTTTGTTTTTCTATCTTCTATTTTGCTTTTTTTTTTATAACTTTATCAATAATTGAGGTGTAGAAAAAATATCTTGGATTAAGTAAGATGGCTTAAAAACACGTGTTTAATTTATACTGTAATATTTCTGATTGAAATTGCTGTTGTTTGTTTTGGGAACTTGTTTACCATCAATGATAAAATAATGGTTTGAGATGAGATTCCAGATCTAACGGCAAATGTCAAGTGCATGCTGCCAAATTAAATATGCGGACTGCTAGAATCCAATAAGACTGTTCAGACTCCAAAAATTAAACTAAGGAACCATCTTACGGTGACATACTACACAAAACGATCACTAGGCTGCACAAAATAGAAAAGAGAAATCAATCATGGTTCAGTAGTACCACTTTCTCAATCAATTAGAAATAACAAGTGCCGGGGCGCCTGGGTGGCTCAGTGGGTTAAAGCCTTTGCCTTCGGCTCAGGCCATGATCCCAGAATCCTGGGATCCAGCCCCACATGGGGCTCTCTGCTCAGCCGGGAGCCTGCTTCCTCCTCTCTCTCTGCCTGCCTCTCTGCCTACTTGTGATCTCTGTCTGTTAAATAAATAAATAAAATCTTTAAAAATATCTTAAAAAAAAAAAAGAAATAACAAGTGCCTTGTTTACAGGAAGTTTGATGACATAATATCTGACAGTTCTTCATCTCTGAATATAAAGCATTGCTTGTTTCATTATGGTCGAAAGAACAATTGAAATCATCTGAGGGAGAAACATTCACTTTTTTTCCCAGAAACATTAGAACTACCTCAAAGCATTTAAAAAAATTATTTTGAAGTTGTTCTCTTGTAAATATAGAATAATACATTTTAAACATTTCATGGACACCTTAAGTTTAAGGCAAATCAAAGAAATAAAAATAATTGCTATGATTGTTTTGACTTTTGAGAAAATGCGTTCATAAGAAGCTGTAATCTGCATGACGTTAATCTAGAAAATAATAGTCTCATCCATGAGAAGGCTTTTGTCTATGTTCAATAGGCCTCTTCTATAATAGAACCTCAGTAGTATTTTTGTTTTAGGTTAATTTTTATTTTGAGAAGAAATTAATGTAAAAAGTTGTAATTCTGTTGATATTTTTAAAATATTCCTATTATATAACTAATTTAATTATCAACTTCATGGGTTTGTATTAGTTGCTCTTACATTTTTCTGTTTATACCATGCAAGTTTATTCTAAACCTACAGCATTTTCTTCTGTGCATTAGTAGCTTAGCATGTTAAATCAGAGTACTAATGCAACCAATAGCATACATTTAAATATTTTATTTCCTATTTGTCTTTCTTTAATAGTGACAGACTAAGACCTTAATTCAAGCAGCTATCTTATAGGTATATTCCTTGACTAAAAATGTGAAAAGTCATTCTGCAGAAGCCATATCCACTCAGAGTTGATTGTTAAAATTATCAATCCCTTCTGGGTTTGCTCACACTCAGCCCCAGAGCTAGTAGATGCTGGTCTATTAGTAGTACAGGAGCAGCTCCAGACGAGCTGTGTGTAAGACTCTGCTGCTTCCATGATTGGTGCAGTCTGTGTTTATAGGTGAGCATAGGTAACCCATATACTCACTGATTATTGTGATTTCAGCTCTGTGTCTACCTCAGTTTAGTGTGGACAATACTACTGTTCTTCCTTCTAAGGCTTATATCCCTTATTCCCAGTGCAGTTTATTGCCTGGTTTGTTCCTGGCCCCAGTGAGGTGTACTTGGAAGGTGTGTCTTGGATGGGGAAGCCTATTGCTGTTCGTTGGTGTCAGTGAATACCTGTTCATTCAGATGTGGTCAACAGCTATCTCCCTTCCACATATCTACTACTTCCCAGGTTTCCAATACCCAAAGTACTCAGCAGGCCTTATTTGGACTAACATGAGAGGGACAATACAGAGAGATTAGCAACTCACTCTGTATAAAGGGTAAATATGATAAACTTTGGACTCAGACAAAACTAAAATTGAATCATAATTTTATTACTTTCTAAATATGTAACCTTGAGCGAGTAACGTAGTTCTCTGAGTTAGGTTTTCTTTCCATCTTTATGATGGTGATAGCGATTCAAACATATGTTGAAGTATAGAGAAAGGAAATATATGAAGCAATTAGAATGATGCATCCCACATTATAAATGTTCAATTCATGGTAAATAATACTGTTATTACCATCTGTAAAAAGAAATCATTTACTGTGGAAAAAAGCGATCTAACCTGTCCTCTTCTCAAGTGCAATGTAATTTGTGTATAAGAAGTTCTGTATGTTTGTATGTAAGATCAGAACTCTTTTATTCAATTTTAACAGTTGTGTATATTTTCTTTTATTTAGAGTGATTCAGGGGGCACCTGGGTGGCTCAGTGGGTTAAGCCTCTGCCTACAGCTCAGGTCATGATCTCAGGGTCCTGGGATCGAGCCCCGCATTGGGCTCTCTGCTCAGCAGTGAGCCTGCTTCCTCCTCTCTCTGCCTCCCTCTCTGCCTACTTGTGATCTCTCTCTCTCTCTCTCTCTCTCTGTCAAATAAATAAATAAAATCTTAAAAAAAAAAGCCTCAGAAATCACAAAGGAAATATCTTTTTTTAGTGTGAGACTTAGAGAAATTATACTAATAAATTAACCATTTATATTAGAGATATACTATCTATACCTATTATCATATAAGAACACATGTATATCATTTAGAATATATAGGAGTATATACACAAATGCATTGTAGGGATAAACTAATTATAGTGACATAAGTAATTTTGACTGTGTTCACTTTTCATTATTATTCAGCCTATCTTTATGAAAAAAGCAAAATAGTACCTTATACTTTGCTACTTTCAAAAGATAACAGAAATATCACACAAACATATTTTACTTTATTTTTTCCTAATTTTAAGTAGCAATAAAAAAAAGTTTCTTAAGATACTATAATAAAAATGTCACAAAATTTATTTTTAAAATTATCTCCAATTTTTGGAGATATTTGCTTTGGAGAATTTAATTTCTATAGATGATAGTTAAGTTCTATCATGCTTAATTTTAAAACTGTCCAGTAAAAAATAAGATGTGATGGTACCAATGTCTTATGGTTACATTACGTAGTTGTCATTTGGACTGTGAAATAACTTTCTGTTTCCTCAAATCCAACTTGATTTACTGTTTTAATGTTTGATTATCTTTTCTGTCAGATAAAAACTAGAGTAGACGTTGATGAATGGGCTTCCAAGCCCTGTAAAAATTGAAGTATGGGATTTTACCATAGCTGCCTGCCAGATAAATAACCGAATTTTCATTTCCAATGAAATTTTTCAATTTGCTACAAGTTAGAACTGATGAGTTAACAGTTCTCCAAGAGTTGATACAATTCTCCTTAGACATATAAGACTCTGGGGGCGCATGCATGGCTCAGTCAGTTAAGCATCTGCCTTCAGCTCAGGTCATGATCTCAGGGTCCTGGGATCAAGACCCATATGGCTAAGGGTGAGGGGGGATATCCCTGCTCAGCAGGGAATCTCCTTTTCCCTTTCCCTCTGCTGCTCCCCCTGCTTGTGCTCTTTCTTTCTCTGTCAGAGAAGTAGATAAAATCTTAAAAAAAAAAAAAAAAGGAAAGAAAGAAAGAAAGAAAAAGAAAGAAAGAAAGAAAGGAAGATTAGACTCTGAAAAACTCAGATTCTACCTTACCAATGCAAACTGGTGCAGCCATTCTGGAAAACAGTATGGAGGGTCCTCAAAAAGTTAAAAATAGAAGTACCCTATGATCCAGCAACTTCACTAGTAGATATTTACCCAAAGAATACAAAAATACCTCTTCAAAGGGATACTTGCACACTGATGTTTATAGCAGTGTTTTATATAATGAAGAAGATATTACACACACACACACACACACACACACACACACACACACAACTGGAATATACTCCATCATAAGAAGAATAAATCTTGCCATTTGCACAGATATGGATGGAGCTGGAGAGTATTATATAATCAGAGAAAGACAAATACCATACGATTTCACCCACATGTGGAATTTAAGAAACAAAACAAACGAGCAAAGGGGAAAAGAAAGAGAGTGAGAGACAAACCAAGAAACAAACTCTTAACTATAGAGAATAAACTATGATTACCAGAGGGGAGGGGGGATGGATTAAATAAGTGAGGGGGATTAAGGAGGAGTGCACTTGTGATGAACACTGGGTGTTGTATGGAATTTTTGAATTGCTATATTGTATACCTGAAACTAATATTATACTATGTTAACTAACTGGAATTTAAATAATAACTTAAAAAAGTATACATCATAAATCCAGGAACTAAAGTTCTATACAAGGTGGTATTCTAAGAAATTTTTGAATTAAAAAAAAAAAAACTTATACAATAAATTGAAGAAAATGCACTATGTACCCCTAATAATATAATTTTCTGAATTCATCTGAATACTAATTAACCTGAATTTCCTCAGAGATTATTAATAAAATGTCTCTATTTCTCATTAAAAGCTTTTAGGAAAGCTAAGACTAAAAGGAAAAATACATAAATTGTTAACTAATATGTATTGTGTTAAATTGTTTAAAAGGTAGTTACAGGGCAACTGGGTAGCTCAGTCAATTAAGCATCTGCCTTTGGCTGAGGTCATGACCACAGGGTCTGGGGATCAAGCCCTACATTGGGCCCCCTGCTCAGCGGGGAGCCTGCTTCTCCCTCTCCTACTACCTGCCACTCTGCCTGCTTGTGATCTCTCTCTCTCTGTGCCAAATAAATAAATAAAATTTTTAAAATAAAAAAAAGGTAGTTAAAATATATATGCAAAAACTTGAATGTTTATGTAGTGTTCCCATCCTCTAAACAATATTTATGTCTTTCAAAATGTGGAGAACTTTTTAAGCTGTTGGTGATACTAACACCATTTAATATTGTGAGTATATGTAGGCAGTGTTTTTGCTAAATCATGAAATCAGGGAACTGTAGAAGTGGTAGATTATTAAGCCTTTGGTTTTCAACGTTTGTACCCAAAGTCCTGATGGGATACAAACATAGTGTTAAAGGGACAAGAATATTCAAAACAGTGACTAAGAACTCATGTTCACAGCTCCCAAGTCCTCCTACAAACATACTGATGATAACAAGAAGATTGGATGAGAATCCACAACATGAAATGAAAATTACATACATTTTATTAGGCAGTAATTTTAGTATAATTATACCCAATGACTACTTGCATCATATCATGTGATTTTAATGCCATTTCAACATGTTCTTCCATAAGTTACTGAAACTCCTAGCCAATAATATGTCTTATTTATAAGATTTATCTTGTCTGAATATTTCCTTTGCTTTTATATGCTTTAGTGAAGCATGCATCAGTTTACCTGGTCATTTTTGTTTGTTTGTTTTCCTCTTGAAACAAAGGCATGTCTTCATCTGACTTGACAGTGAATTATGTTCCTAAAATTTTTCTCATTTAAAACCTTTTCCAATCTTGGAAGACAGAAAAAATAAAATTAAATTATAAAAATAAAAAATAAAAAATAAAACCTTCTCCAATAGCTAGTCATTCCCACAAATCAGCTCCTCTTTTGGTTCTGTTAACTATTCTGATCTGACACTCTAGTTTGCTTTTAGTATACTGCTTCTCTACCATTTTGTGCTCGCTTCCTCCCTACTGCAAAGGGAAAGTGTAAACTCCTGGTTGAAATGTATCCTGAGAATGGATTTCACAGTACAACCTTTGTAAAACTATTAAACATTCCCTTTGTAGCAGTCAAGAAGAGATATTTGTATTTGGTAACATTTTGCCACATAGTCTCTCCAAGGTCTTGCCAAAGCCTTGGGTGGGAGTGGCCATGATTAGGCGCCATGAGGGCAGCACTGTATGACATTCACTCAAAAAGGTAATTTTTGGATGCAATACAAATAGAGGGAAAAAAAAAAAAACTTAGTACTTCACCTACTATGATCCTGAGATTCCTCTATTGACTGAAAAATAGGAGCTGAAGAAATGAATAATTGCAGAGTTTAGGGCCAGGTCTTGCCATGGATCAACATATTGTAGTCACAAAGAGAATTCTGTATCTCTCATTTTTGTTTGTCTTTCAAAGTTTAAAAACAATTTAACCCTTTATTTCCAGTTTTTATTACTAAAATATATTAAATCACACAAAATAAATAAATACATATATTAAGTTATTTTAAGGTGAACTAGGAAACACACCCATATAATCATGTAGAAAAAAACAAAGACTTTACTAGATATCCTTGAAGAACCCTCTAGTGTCAGTGTGAACTCCTCCCTCCAAAAGCAGCCATTCTTCTGATATTTATAGAATCAACTTTTGTGCTTTATTTCCTATTTGTTTCATTCAGTTGTGCATGTCTAAACACCACTGTTTAGTTGTTCCCATTTTTAAAATGTGTTTTTAAGTGTGTGGCATAATTCGACTTCATTCTTTCTGCAACGACCAATTCAAATTCAGCATTATAGAATCTTATACTAACATCTCCTGTGTAACATCTGTATATCGTGTCTTCAAATTTAAAATCCTAGTCTCAACAATACAAGGGATAATAAAATAACACTATCCCATTATTGCTCATTTATTTTATTTTACAATATAAACATAAAAGAATAAAAATACCAATAAAATATCAGCGTAATTATGGATAAGATTTTAATTTTTGTTCATGAGCTTTTTTCCATTTTCCTCCATTTTTTACGCTATATCTCTTTAGTCTGAACCTATTAGCTATATATACAGTGCACTTTCCTTTTTATCCTTCCTTTAGTTTATTCCTGCAAGTAAATGTATGTATACTCTTTAACACCCTATTCTTGTGTTGGTGTCTCTCATTATTTTGGTTGCCTAATGCTTAAACTCTAGAGGGCTCATGGGAATAATAACCTTTGAATTCTTGTGTATTGATAATCATGGATCTGTGCTTTTGATACTTGAGAGTACATATGCTTGGTATAAAATCCTTTGTTTCCATTTTCTCTTTCTTTCTTAAAAATTGTAAATTTTAAGTACTTAAATATTTTATTTTCTTTTGGCATATGTTACTATTGAAAAGTTTGATGTTAATCTAATTATTTTTTATTATAAATCACTTGCTGCTTTTTTCCCTTTCTTCATGGCCAAAAGTTGCATTTTTCCCTTAAAGTGAAGTAATTTTACTAAAATGAAGTGTTCTTGAATTATAATTTTTGATGTTATTTTTGGTTTCCTTAATTCTATTTTTTAGGGAACCCTTTATTCATACATTGAATCTTTGTTGCCTAGTTTCAATATTTGTTTCTTTCCCATCCTTTATATTTCTTTCTTAATTTCATATACTTTCCATCTTCTAATTATCCTAAGTAATTATCTGTTGTGCTCATATTTTGTTATGTTCTTTTTGGAAATGTTTTCTTTTGTGGATTCTTTTCTGAGTTCTGTGACCTCATTACTGAGTTTTTCTAATTTGTTAGTAAATTGTTCATTCATATCTTATGCTATTTTCTTAATGTCTTTTAGCTCATTTTGAAATAATACTTTGTAAATTTGATCTAGTTTTTACATCTGTCATTTTATTTCATTATTTCAGAAACTTTCATTGTCCATAATGATGTTATTTTATTTCTTTTTCTTTTCCTTTTAATAAATTTATATTGGAGTTAACCTTGATACTATGTTGCTTTTTTATGTTACTAGTCTTTGGGGACATTAAGAAAGACAAATAAATCGGACTAGCTTTCCTTACCTCACAGAGCTCCTTTCGTTGTTTTTTTGTTGTTGTTTATTTATTGTTCTAGTATATAGGGGTTCTCCTGCCCTTATGTCCTAGGTTTGTCTCTTTTCCCCAAGAATGTCTGATCTCCCTCCTTCACCTCTTTTGCCATTGTCCTATTCACTTTCTAGTCCATTATGGATAGTTTCTCCCCAGTGTGGGGCCCTGTTCAGGAAGAGAGCTGAGGCAGTTTTGTGAATTTATTTTTTTTTAATTTTTATTATTATTTTTTTATTTTTTAAAGATTTTCTTTATTTATTTGACAGAGAGAGAGTACAACCAGGGGGAGAGGCAGGGAGAGAGAGAATCAGTCTCCTACTGAGCAAGGAGCCTGATGTGGGACTGGATCTCAGGACCTTGGGATCATGACCTGAACCAAAGGCAGATGCTTAACCAACTGAGCCACCCCAGCTCCCCAGTTTTGTGAAGTTATGCAGCTACGCTTCTCTGAAT